GAAAGAGTCATTGTCATGCCCACAGCACTGCTGTGGGTCTGAAAGTTCCCTGCACTGCTTTGGACAAGTGCAGTGATCCCTTTAGGCAGAGAGGCATCCTGAGGGATGTCGGCAGAAATACTGGTGCAGACATTATGGTATCAGCAACGCTTGAGTTTCCTGTTTGCTCATGAGAACTGGTTTTACTATTGTGCTGCATTACTGCATCCACAAGGGTTTTGGCATCCTACAGAGATGTTTACTTGTATGATGTGAAAAAAAAAAAAAAACCTCCTACTAGACTCAGCGAAAGCAACATGCAAAGGGACCAAGAAATACCATGCCAAAAATTGAGACCACACCTTCCATCTCTCAGACCTGAACCATTGCTCTATTTTTTTTTCAGCAGGCAAAATAAAAAGCAACCGCTGGTTTATCGCTGATTAAAGACCCCATATAATTACACTTACCAACATCAGCCCCACTGAGAGCTTTCCCTAATGGCCAGGGTCTCATGTCAATTATCTTTCCATTGATGCTGACTGACTGAACACAGCCCTGAAACCCACGGTTGGTGCCTGCAGCTCTGACCAGCCAATACACACTGGGGGCACCGCCAACGTAGAAGGGAGTCCGGAAAGTAATTTTGCTGTATTGACCCTGAAGGGAAAACAGGACATCATGATGTAGAACAGATATAACATAGGATAACTAATTAAGCCACACTGTGTATAATCAATTTTTTTTCTCCACAAGAATTATGTCAGGGGATAGGCATGGTCCTTATTGGTAATTCCTTTCCAGTAGTCATTCTTCTACTCAATCTGTCACTTCAAATGCTACTTTTTGCATCTGCATCCATCATGATAACATAGACAATTTAATGAAAAATAAAAAGTTTTGAAAATCACTGTGTTCTGGGGAGGGATTGTAATCTGTCTTTTGCCGCAGTTGCTTCCTTTACTTTTGCCAAAATAATTTGTCTTCTAAATTCTAAGCCCTGTGGGACACAGGGCAATGGAATATTGCCTTTTGGATAGAACCCAGCAAGTGCTTAGTCTTGAATAATAAATGATAAAATAAAATTATGAAAAATAACAGTAAAACCCATGACAAAGCATAAACTGACACAACTATGACTTCAGTGGGGTTTTGCTCACTTTGCCAGCACTAAATTTACTCCCCATCTTTTTTTTTTTTTTCACCTCCCCCTGCCTATAGAAACATGCATGTGCAAGTTTACTAACACTGCTACAGTGCACGGGAAAAAACAAACAAACAAATGCCAGTGTTTACCAATGTGTCCTTCTGCCAGCAATGAACTTTAGCCTAAAAGCTCTCTGGATTTTTCTTCTCTGCCCTGCCTCCCTGATATTTATAACAATAAACTATATCCCCACAGCCTGTATTTTTCCAGGCTGGGTAAGCCACGGCTATTGAGTGCAGAAGTTCACTGCAGAAACACATCAAATGGATCTCGGTTTCAGCAGAGAAAAATAATTCAGGTGGAGCTTGTGGCTAAAGAGTACAGATGGTTCATTGTGGTTTTATGCCAGGGCTGTGGGCATACAGCTTTCCAGCTTCTCTCCAAGCACTTGCCATCTTCCATCACTTTTGATGCTCTTCCTCTGCTTGGTCTGTCAAACTCCGCTTCTCTTGTGTGGACACCCTAAGACTGTTCAAGTCAAAATTAACTAGGTCAGAAAAGACTGTCATGCTGCTGAGACTAACCCAGGATATTGTAATAATTAATAGCTGAGAAGGACTCACTGGAGCAGCAATGCTACAAGAGCAGCAAGTCCTGGTGGAGAGCAGCACCTGCAGCGATTGGCTTTTTGTTCTGCTACAGCTGCAGCTAGAAAAATGTGTGTCCACTATCAAAGTCTTCTTGTAATAGACTCTGTGGACCATAACCCTCCTACTAGCCCTTTGTTGCACCTTTACTTCTTCAAATTTATCTTTCTTGGCTATAGGCGATCATTGCCATGCACAGTAGCCAGATGCAGTCCTATCAAAGGACTGTGCAATGGCATTAGTCTTTATTGTACGTATTTTTCCTGATTTGCATTTGTCCCTTGCGGGGCCTCACAGCACTGGTAACACATAGTGACACACAACAGACATTGAAATTCTCTTCTCTGTTATTTTCAGCTGATAAAAACACGACCTGCAGCATTTTTGCCCTTCATTGCCTGCACTTGAAAGTGTAAAGTAGTAAGATGTCTGAAGCTATTTTTTTTCAGGGCTAGGGATGGCATGCCAACAGTGGCTATCAAAAGGAAGAGGAAAGACATTTTGAAACAATATGCAACTGTCTTTTTTCAGTACCTGAATTTAATTTCTGTTTCCTGGTCTGGCAACAGCTAAGCAATCCAAAACATCTTCCTCTATTATATTTTATCCTGGTGACCTCATCTGAAATTGTTGATGTAAGTCAGGGCAGAATGTCTACCTATCTCCATTACTGAGGTTAAATCTATGTCATGGTATATGTGCAATTACATTTCTGTATACAAACCTTGTGTGGCTACACCTGTAACATATATGAATATTTACACATAAACACATATGCATCTAATTTTTCTGAGAAAGCAGAGGAGCTCTCTGAGGCTTGAAAAAGAAAACAATCAGGAAGAGCAGCTGTAAAACCTGGCCAACTTTTAACAGCATCCTGCCTCTGAGAATAGCGAAGTGTAGCAGCAGGACAGCAGATCAAGCATGGAGGATGACAGGGAAATTGTGAGGAGATTCAGCACTAGGACATTTATCCATGTGATTTCTAGAATAAGTATGTGGGACAGGAATCTGTACACTGACCCTGGTTTACTAAATGCCTCGACGTTGACAAATAAAAATGTGCCTTTTAAATCTGATCAGACTTGGGTCATCATAATCTTCAGAGAGCCCAAGGTTGAGCTGCAAGTGCAGGACTACCTACCTGAGATTTTCCTGTCACTGGAGGATCACTGTCCATCCCCAGCCAGCCATTCACCCCGTCTCTGAACAACGTGACAGTGTGCCAGTTCCCCAACTTGATTTTGTTTTCACTCGTTATGACTGCAACTCCAGTGCCACAGTTGAACCTGGGAGAGTGGGACAGAGAGGGCAAGGTGACAATCTTACATTAGTAAAGTAACAGAAACTCAGTTTTAGACTCCAGATATTCCCTTCTCTCCTGGGAACCTCTCTGTTTCACATCACATATTAGCAGACCACAGGAAAATTAGACAGCAGGTCTACATATGATCTGTTCTAAATTTCAAACTTCATTATCTGTCTTCTTGCCTGGAGAAGATTTTGCATCCTCTGGCTGTACCAACTGCATCACAAAGCTTCACAGCAGCTGAAATTGTTTCAAGATGGAGGGTATTAAAATCTCACCTCCTGTTATCACAGTCATTTCTCTTGGGAATTTTTCCAGCTCCCTCATAAAAGGCAGTGCTTAGAGGTGATGGTTGATGAGAAGCTCAACATGAACTGGCAATGTGCATTTGCAGCCCAGAACACCAACCATATCCTGGGCTGTACCAAATGAAGCATGGTCAGCAGGTCAAGGGAGGTGATTCTCCCTCTCTACTCCCCTCCTGTGAGACCCCACCTGGAGTACTGTGTCCAGTTCCAGAGCCCCAAACACAAGAAGGACATGGAGCTCTTGAAGCAAGTCCAGAGAAGAGCCATAAGGATGATAAGAGGGCTTAGCATCTCTCCTATGAAGACAGGTTGAGAGAGTTGGGGTTGTTCAGCCTGGACAAGAGAAGGCTCCTTATAGCGGCCTTCCAGCACTTGGGGCTACAGAAAAGCTAGGGATGGAATTTTTTTCAAGGGCATGGATTGCTAGGATGAGTGATAAGAGTTTTGAACTGAAAGACAGTTGATTTAGGTTGGGTATTAGGAAGAAACTCCTATGTGTGAGGAAGGTGAGATCTTGGAACCAGGTTGCCCATGGAAGTTGCAGATGGCTCATCCCTGGAAGTATTCAAGGCCAGGCTGGATGGGGTTTTAAGCAACCTGGTCTAGTGGGAAGTGTCTGTGCCCATGTCAGGGAAGTTGGAACTAGATGATCTTCAAGGTCCCTTCCAACCCAAACCATTCTATGATTCTATGATAAATCTGTCATTCTATGATTGACAGGAGAGTCATAAGCTTAGGAAAGCTTATGCTTAGGCGTAACCTTAGGAAAGGCAGCGCCTCAATAGATTTTCTGATAATACAGCAGTGAGTCCTGGACTAATGCCTAGCAGAAACTTTTTTTTTTTTTCCTTTACACCAAGGTCTAAGTAAGAAGAGGTGAACAGGGCAGAAGTCCACACACTAAAGAAGAATGAGAGAAAAAAATGTTCATTGAAGTAATACTGTACATTTTGCTCACTGCGTGGGGCAGAAGTCAGAAGCACAACACATATTCATCACATATAGCAAGTCCCAGAAGGCAGCAATGGCTCCTTCTCTTTACATCAGATTTGGGGTGGAGGTTTTACCTGAACTGGATGCTACGGCGAATGATTGCTAGTGACATGAAATCACCACGGCCATGCTCATTTTCTCCACAGTATAGCAGCAAACCATCTTCTGATTCAGCCTGCAATCGCAGCATCAACATGAAAAATAAAAATATGAGCCTCACAGTGATAGAAAAATGAAAGCAACACTAAAGGACTTTTTCCCACAGCTGGGGGGTGGAAAAAGGCAGCATTTTTCAGGTGGAGTTTTTAACTTGCAAACTGGTTGATCAATTTTGAATCCTGTGTTTGAAGAACCTAGAAAAACATTGCCTTAATGCTTAAATGGTGTAAGAACTTCTCTTCTACTTGCAGCATGATGCTATTGGACATTAAAAAAAAGGCCTGAAAGTATTAAAGACAGTCAAACATGTCCCATATGAGATCTCTGAGTACAAAATCTAGCAAGGATGTCCTGGAAAGTATGTTAAGCATAGGCACATCAGACTCACTGTACATGAATACACACACCCTGCTTCACATCCTCTGGGAGCCTGACACTTCTCAAGCCAGACAACCTGTGCAGGCAGGATTTCTCCATATGTGCATGGCAGCTGACACAGTGGCTTTTTGCTGCCATCCTGCATTTTAAGCTGACATATTGCCAGAGGAGTGTCAGATCACCATGTGAGGCAGCAGACTGCTGACAGTCTCATACCCAGGCTGTGAGGCTGTCGAGTCTGACATGGGAGCAGGGCTATATCCACGACCTCAGCCATCCTCCCTACAGGCAGCCCTGCCAGCACTAACACAAGGCACTGTGGGTTTTACACTATAAAGCTGTAGTGTAAGTAGTCCAGTATCTCACATGGTAGTAGTAGCTGGTGTCCCAAACTTCAGAGGTGGAAAATAATGCCTGCTTCAGGCCTGCAGGGTAGGAAAAGAACTCTGGGTATAGGGCATTATTTTGCTCCGTACAAGAAATTCACAGTTTCTTCTAAGCAAAGGTACTGCATGCCACTTCCAAACTGCAATTCACAACATTTTCAGGTGTTATTTAGCCTGTAGCTCATTCACATGGCTATAACCTTGCCAATGTATATTGCCACTGCACTGTAATGCCAGTTATTACTAGGCCCAGGGATACTATCTTGCACTGCCTACCAATAATAGATCAAAATATTTTGTATCAGTTTACCAGCTTAATTGGAATCCATTGAAGGTGAAGTCTGATCTTTAGAGATTAAGACTATGCATAGGTTCGCCACAATTGCATTATAAGTTATACTGAAGCTAAGTTATTGTTCCATCATTCATATCATCAGAATAAGTGAATTAGAGTTACAGCTCTTGGAATTGCTTAAACTTACCCTGAATTCAAGGGTAATTTGAAATGTCTGATAGGAGTTTTTCAGTGGTTCAAAGGTGATGTATGAGTAGCCAGAGAACTGAGGATACTGGATAGTAATATCTAAAAGTAAAGACAGAAGCATGTTATTTAGCACTATTCTCCCATATAAAAATCAATACAAACATTTAGCACTAGATAACACCATGTGAAAATGCAAGGCAGAGTTCCTCTAGAGACAGCCATTAGTCAGCAGCAGTCAACAATCGGTCAACCTATTGCCTTGTCCTCCCACCACCTTTCAAAATTCTTTTATTCCCAAGGACCTGATGAACTTGGAAAGAAGCAAGAAGGCCAAACACTGCTCAACATTTTGATCACTGGCTTCAGTTGAACTTTCTCCAGACTTTCATCCTTGTTACAGAAGGCAGAACACATCTCCTTTGCATTTATTTCCTTTTAAGAATTCTTGTAACACAGAGACAATGAAGTAGTTTTCTGTTTTGCAGGATTGTAAAAACATATGCAGGAAATGTGGCCAGACTCCACACAGCATTAGTCACTGCTGCTCCATAGCTGTTGTGTCCAACATTCACAGGAGCCTTGGATGGCTCACAAGAGCCCAGCATCTTCCAGCACTTCCCCCAAAACAGCTCAGGACAGAAGGTAAAAAGAGTGATGGGGAGAAGAGCATCACTGCAGGCATTTCTCTGTCTCTGGCTGCAATAGTGGCCCTTCATGTTGCTCATGTCAGCTGGCGTTATCAATCCTCACCCTTTGCTGTCTCATGCTGGGGACTGTCCCAGTTTCAGCACAGCAAAAGGAAATCAGAGAGATGTCTTACTGCTACCTTTGTGGCTCATCTTCCTAGGATGCACTGAGGATAGACACAGTTTCAGGCCTGAATTCTTAATTTTGTGTGGATCTAAGCCTAATGAGGAAAGAAGAATGAGGAGCCCTTTTCTGTTTTGCTATTTGAATACAGAGTGGGTTTTTCTTGCACATTTGGATTGGGATACAGTTGTCTGCTTTTTTGTTTGCAAGGCACACATTTTAGACTGAGGTGAACAGAACTGGTGCTGCAAACCTGACTGCAACTGCAGTAGACAGCAATTAACTTATGCCCAGATCACTAGCAGAAATTACTGGACCATGTAGCTGCTGATTGTAGAGAAAAGTCTGTTTCCATTCAGATTATATATTATTTAATAGTATTGGCTGCTGAGGAGAAATTCAGTACAAGGGAATATTGGTACATGATGGTTTACCAAGGAATAACACGCTCCCTTGTGAAAAATAGTGGGTTTGGACTGACATTAACAAACCCATTCTCCAAGTTGTATAGAGTTATGTCAGTTCAAATAAATCCTCAAGTCTTCATACTTGATCAAAGCCAAAAACCACATCTGCAGCTGTTCCATGTGACTGAGTCACAATGGATTGTTCTCAGAATGAACTGTCTTTACTCCAGCATTGGGAGGAGAAGATCAAACACCCTCTATGTCTTCATCCCCGATGCAACACTTATGTCTAACATGAGCCTGCAGAAGAAATGTGTGCCTGATGCTCTACTGTGTGGCAGGGCCTTGAGAGATCAGAGCAGTATGCAGAGGGATGTGTCAGCTCTTTCTTAGCTGGTGGGACAGCACCACTACAAGCAATGTAACATTTGCTTTGCACAAGCTCTGGCATTGATCTGACACCTTGTTCTTGAAACAAGTAGAAAAATAACTCCGGGGGCGTGGAAAGTCATCTGCTTATAGCTAGAAGCTAGACTGGATCACCAGGTGATCAGCTCAACATCAGAGCCAGCAAAAGGGCAAGGTTAGGTCTGCAGAGGGAGTGGACAGGAAGGTGACAAGGGAAGGAGAAGCAGGATAGCTTACTTCAGCTCATCAGACTCTTGCCCTGGCTCAGCTGCCCTGCAGAGCAGTGAGAGGACTCGTGGCAAGTCCTGACTGGGACAACCATACTTCCTCACATTGAGCCAGGCTTCAGGTCATGCTTTCTGAACTGAAGGGGTAGGTTTGTTCCTTCCTTTCCCCAGGCTGCCTGACACAAGTTCTGGGGCTACTACTCCAGCACTTCTGCCCTGCAGACCATGGGGAAAGCCTCCACTGGAGATGGTTTTACAATGGGGAGCTCTGTCTCACATCCCTGCTGCAGGATCAACATAATCTGATGGACCATGCTGGGAATGTAGGTGGTTAAGGGCTTCAGCTGCAGGCAAAAGGCAAGCTTCCTCCTGGAAGCTGTATATGCCATGGGTGGACCCTGTCAGAACTGGGTGCCAACATACCTGGTTCCATCATCCCTCCTAAGTAGGGAGGGGAAGGAGGATCAGTCTCCCCTTCACATGATATTTACATTCAGCTTTATTAAAGAATAACCTCATCTAGTTGAGGAAAAAGAAGTGAAGGGGCTGATGTCTGTACTATGATGCAGAAGCTGCTGCTGTCCTTAGGGATCCATTAAGTCTGGTTGGATATTTCCAGCACAGGCTTGACTTCATTCGTCGTGAAGCTGCTGCTTGCCCGAGACAAAGAGAAGCCAGCAGCAGGCATGCAGAAACCTACCTTCTGCACACATCTCTCCTCCTTTTCCCAAGTTGCAGTGGCAGCGTGAGCCACCCCGGTCATAGTCATTGACACAAAAGCTGTCTGCAGAACAGATGGCCTCATCACAGGAGAGATCAAAGAGGCGTGTGACAGAAGACATGCTGCTCTTCCTCGCTGCCCGAGCTGTAGTTGCCCTCGCTGTGGTTGAAGTCTGTGTGGTGGTGGGAGTAGAAGTACTAGGTTCAGACGTGGTTTCAAGGACCCGTGACAGGAGCCTGGAACTAGACCCTGGTGTGACCTTAGTTTCTACCAGGAATTTTCTGCTGCCTCCTTTGATAGCAGGAAGAGGTCTGAGCTGAAAGAAAATAAACACAAATTCAGTAAAACTTAAAATGCTGCATGGAAATTCAAGTAATACCTTCCACAATACAGATCTGAGGTAACAAATTCATCCTCACCAAAGAAAAAGAAACAGCAACATTACTGTATCCGAGCACATAATACTAGCTATTAAACTCCCTTACAAGATCAGAGACTTTTAAGTATTGAGATTGTAAAGAAAACAGAAATGTCAAAGTGAAATAGTGGTATTTTACCTCTTCTATGTAAATGTCATAGTCTGAGTCATCAATATCAAATCCGTCATCATCACCAGTCACTGTGTCTGTGACATACCGGTGCCCATAGCTTCCACTTCCTAACTCCTCAGAGCCTAAAAAAAAAAAGCAAATGGAATATTCAGTTTGTGTGTTTTTTTCTCTTTATACACAGCAACTCAGATCTTACTACCCCCTGATTCACAACAGCTGAGGTGGTGTTAATGTTCGTCCTGTACAGACAACCCAAGTGTCAACCTGAAGATGGGAGACGCTGTTTAAATGATACACGTGCAACTTAAAGGTAAGACCCTTTTTTCGTCACTTACTGTGTTTCCCAAACAAGCAGGTAAAGCTCAATGTTCCCACTGCAAACAGGCTTTTATCCCTCATGCTTTTAGATCAAACTTTTCTCTTTTTCAAATACACAGTCCCAGATCTCTCTTACTGGTGATCAAATAAATGAAACAGCAAAACAGAAGCATTTCAGTAGGACTTTTCTGGCACTGTCTGCTTAGGACTTTATCTGTCTTCACTGGCTCTAAAGGATTCTGAAATTAGCATCCTAAGTGTATTTTTAGGCTATATTTTCAAACCCAATTTACCACATCAAGAAAAGAATATCAGGTGTTATTCACATACACAATTTGCTTCTGCTTCTCCCTGGAGCACTGAACTGTGCTGTGAATTAATCCATGCTGGAAGTGGCCAGTCTAAACAGCAACAGGGTCCTTGTAGGAAAAATCTCTGCTTTTTGGAGGAGAGGAGAGAAGAGGAGAGGAGAGGAGAGGAGAGGGGAGGGGAGGGGAGGGGAGGAG